GGGCCGCTGCCAAGAAAAGAAGCGCACGAGTTTCTTGCAAGAAAAAAGTTGACACCGACGGGACTCGAACCCGCGCATGCGAACATACTAGCACCTGAAGCTAGCGCCTTAACCACTCGGCCACAGTGTCTGAGAAGTAGTGTTAAGCTACGATAACTGAGCAATGTAATTTGGTATTTATAGCAATCAGAGCATTGAAAAGTCGACAAAAATGAAAGAACAAAAAAGTTGACACCGACGGGACTCGAACCCGCGCATGCGAACATACTAGCACCTGAAGCTAGCGCCTTAACCACTCGGCCACAGTGTCTGAGGTTGACGTTAAGTCATGCCGACTTGTAAGAAAATGTCATACATAAATGGTGTTGTACAGTTTTTTTTATGAGTTCCTTGAAATGCTGGTCACCGAAATGCCCATTTCAGGCAGTTCAGGCTGTGGATCTGGAAACCTGAACAAAATTCTCTCTGCGCACAGCGCGCTTGATACATTTTAAAAAAATATCGTCTACACTTTCAAGATTTGACAGAAGAAACTTGTTCATGAGCAAAAAGGAAGCGGAGGTGTCCGAGCTTGGTTGGCCCATGTCGCCATCACAATTCGGCTGGATGTCAATGTTTGGAACCGGGACAACCGGCGGCCTCACACGTCCACACACCTCGGGCCTAACGTTAGTTATAAAGCATGTGCATGCGCCGTGACTGTGGGTGGCTTTCTGTTTTCCCTTTGCAATGGCAAGCCGAAAAAAAAATCATGTCCAAGCAGAAGGTGATTTTGTGCGCGGGGCCCCCAAGCTTCTCTCCCCGCTTCCCTGTTCCAATTGGTTAAGTGTCAACCTTGGCCATAACACGGCCTCATTCTTATCCCACAATCATGCTCCACTCTACCAACGACAGTCCATGTTGGTGCGCTGATGAATCAAAGCTGCAGCTAACGGGCACATGAAGAATAACTTTGGCTCAACTCACGACAACATGAAATGACAATACACGCCGAACGATAGGCCCGAGTGGCTCGGGTTGCACGCAGCCAAGCACGCACAAGCACATGACATCAGACACAAATTGTTATGCAAACCCTAGGCAAACGTGGTATGCAGCTTTTTAAACTCGGCAGGGCCCACGCGTATCCGCGAGCCGGCCATGGCAATGGGCTCCACCAGCCGAATGCGCGCAAAGGGGGTGGCACGCGCGCGGTCGGCCTGCAGGCGCGTTCGATCCAAGTCAAAGGCCACGTCAAAGTTACTGTCCGATGCACCAGTGGCAGCCCGCAAGGCAGGTACCATGTCCTTTCGCAATTCTTGCAACTGCTCCTGGAGGCCTCGCACGGTGGCCATGCTGTTGGCCAGCGCAGCCTTGGCAGTCTGACTACGCTCGCTGCGTGGTTTGCTCACGTCGACAACGCTAACAGCTGCGCAACGGTGCAATACACTTTGTCGTAGCTGACTGGCGCGCGTGTTTAAGCCACCAAAGCCCTTGATGGCTTCTGGCAGTGGTTGACAAGTTGACAGGCGCGGCAATTCAGCCAAGGTCGTGCGAATTGCACTCGCCTGGCACGCAGCCAGCTCGCGCCGAGCATCGCTCAGCGCCTGAACCAGCAAATCCACCTGGAGGTGGGCTGCACGCAGATCGGCACTGTTGGCGTTGCCAGCCGTCGCTGCACCGCCGAGACGACGGCCAGTAAAGGCATGCAGCTTCCGACGCAAATCCGCGCACTCTCGCTCGTACTTGGAGGCGCCCTCTTCCAGCTCGGCGAACATTTTGCCATACTTGTCCTTGAGTTGCTGCACCTGCTCTTGCAGCTTCTCGACCTCGGCCTCTTTCTCCTTTACCGCTTCGTCCCCTTGGTGGCGCACGGCCTCCACCTTCTTCTTACTCGCTTCCAGAATGGTGCGAGCCTCGAGTGTCTCGCGTTCGCGTCGCTGCGCATGGGGCAAAGCAAGAATGTTAACACGAGTCAGACCTAGTCAGGGAACGAGAAGCTTGCGTGTGTGCAGGACAAGATGAGGCCTCGAAACAGTGGCGGCTGCAAACCTTGAGTTCAGTTCGCAGCTCGACAAGCTCTGCTTCGGAACGCTCCAGCTGCAAGGGCAGGTCGAGCGTCTCCTTGACAACACGACGCATGCGCTCGGCATTAACGAGCCACACGCCCTTTGGTGCTCTATCAGAGAGGTGGCAGAGCAAGGTCGAGACCGAGGCAGTCAAAATTGAAAAATTGACGGAAAAAAAGCTGCTCGTGGATGGCACAGACGCTTTGGTTGCGAGAGAACCACACACACACACACACACACACACACACACACACACACACACACACACACACACACACAAAAGATGTTGGACGTACCCGGTAGCCGCATCGGCGTGCGAGACAACGTGATCAAACTCGCCATTCACCAAACGATCAGCCAGATCAGAGACACTGTCGCCGGCAGACTTGAGAAGGTCTTTGACAAACGCAGGCAGGGTGTCGCCTTCGGCGCCATCACTTGCCGCCTTGCTTCGATACTCGCCGTCGTCCGTCAGATCCAACCGCACGCTCACGGCAATCTATTCCGCAAAACCCGATTCAGGGACAATGCAGGCGCATGCCACCACACTCAACCCCGACGTACAGAAACAAGCATCAGAACTTTTCCCGCCAACTTTGGAGGGACTCACCTGGAGCGCAGTCTCCAGGTCCAAGTTGCGGAGCGTAATGGTGTCATGCACGTAGTCCTGAGGACATGGAACCAAAGCGCCAGTCCGATACAAGCGCGTGGGTGTGGCGTGTGAGCGTCGTCTCATACCGACAAGTACATGAGCAGACAACCAACACCAGGCAGCTCAACGTCTGTGAGAGTCAAGAGTACCGGCAGAACCTACATGCGTGGCGCGGCAGCAAAGTGCTAGGTCGTTCTCGAGCTTGTGCAAGTCATAGCCCAAAGCCTCGAGGCGCTGCACCTCAGTTGCGCCCATCTGGACCGTGTTTGTTTGATTGCGCTCGGGGAGCGAGCGCAACATCTAACGCGATCGAGGGGTTGAAAGACGTCAAGCAAAGCAAGCCAAGATCGAGTCGACATGAGTGGTTCCGCACGTGACAATTACTGCCATCAGCATGCACATGTACAGACCTTCTTGGCACTGGTGCGCAACGCCTTGGCATTGCTGACTGAAGCTTGAAGCCGGCCAATGAGCGGTCCCAATGCTGAATCTAATCGAGGCCAAACAAAAAAAGTGGAAGAAAATCGACAAATCAGCACGGTCGCATTGAAGCAGAGCAGAGAGCCGGTCGAATACAACCCGCCGTCTGCATGCACAGATGCCGACACGCACCAGTATTGAGTGAGGGAGCGTACAGCTGCTCCAAGCGGTATAGCTGCGCCATAATGGCATCACTTGAGCTCGCAATAAGCGTCGCCGAGGCCTGCAAAGTAGGTAGCGCGAAGGTGAGGAGAGAGACAGTTGGTCGGTACCATGCCGTTGAATGCACAAAATCCACCACAACGAACCTGCACGCTGTCGCGATCGGACAGGGGATGCTGCTTCTTAAGATGCATGGTGCAAATGCGAACCATTGTACTTGCAGCCCTGCACAAGCAAGACCGAGCCATCAGAACGCATGGAGTACACGTGCTACGGTTGGAGCCAGGCATCGAGGAGCAATCACTCACGTAGACAAGGGCCGCAGGTCAATGCTGGGGAACAGACCATCACCCTGAATATGCTTCAGAAGGCGGTCGAGGCTGCCCTCTTGTGGAGCCAGCTAAATCGAGACATTCATATTCAAGAACGTGAGAGCACCATTACGGACCAAGGTGGAATGACCAGCGCCGCGCCTTCAGCATTGGCCATACCTCCAAGTATGTATCTCCAATCTGACGATATTCCTCAGCGGAGAGTTTGGGCATGGCCTATCAAGCAAAAAAAAAAAAAAAAAAAAAGATCAACCCTCAGTCAAGACAGGACCAAACCATGTTTTTGACAAAAGTGTCGAGCCGTCTGGCACTCGAAATGCCGGCACCCCTCGGCAACAATACCTCTCGCAAGTAGTTGGCGTGGACATTGAGCATGTCCAGCGCGCTGATGCAGCTTTGACCAAAGGTGTACTGCTCAATTGTGACTGCAGGCTCGTCCCCCCCTAGGGCGTGATCCAAATCTGTTCGACGACAATTGCAGGATTTGAGCGGACAACAGCGTAAGAATGGGTGGCTCTGCAGCGCTATCGCAAGCGATTCGCGCCAAGTCATATTTCGGCTGACATAGTGTCGCCAACGACCACAAATCAGAGGCGTCAGTGGAACTCGAAACGCACCCTCATCGGCGTGAAACTCTTCCTCCACGGCCTGGCGAATGATGGCAGTCTTGCGCGAAAATCGCTCCAAAAGTAGCAACAAGAGGAGACCATTGTAGTCGGTGACAAAGAAATCTTCGGCAAGATACTTCTTCAACAATTCCACGTGCTCTGCCGCCTGGTCCTCAGAGAGGGCATGCAGCAGGTGCTCCACGTGGCGGGCTCGCTCGCGAATTGCGGTGCCAGACTTCTGAGAATGTATCGTGGCCGACACGTGAGGCACCGACAATGGCGGTGTACATGGCAACACCATTCATGCTGATTTTACCTGCGATGGGGCAGCCACGGGGGCCTGCTTGGTCACAGGTTCGGTCTCCAAGCGCTCCTGCTCGCGATCGGCTTGCAGCGAAACCTGCTGCTCCAGCCCCGATACCTTTTCCTTGAACGCCTCGATTGTTGTGCGCTGCTGTGCGTACCGGGCAGCCATCTCCTGCACCGCTTGAATCAACTGTTGGGCGGCGCGCGATTAGGCACATGGACGTCAACGAGTAAGGCAGGCGAGTAACCCAGAACCGAGCTGCTTGCTTTGTTTGTTTGTTTGTTGGTTGGTTGGTTGGTTGGTTGGTTGTGGTGGTTGTGGATTGCGACGGTTGCCAACGTGTCATAAACAAGCGCACCTTGTCATTCTGGCTTTCGTACTCCAGTACGGCCTCGTGAGCGGCCTGCTCGGCCTCCACCAACGTGGCGTTAACTTGTGATTCAATGTCGAGCATGGCTCGGAGATCGTGCACCTCCTCTTCCAAATTCTGGCAGCGATCCTCGAGAACCATGTTTTGTTGAGTGAGACCCTCAATGGTTTCGGCTGCGTTGGCCCCTGCGTCGACCTGCTCCATCTGGGAGCTCAGATCTTGCTGCATTTTGTTGAGGGATTTCTCTTTGAGATCCAAGACGCGGGTGAGGGAGTCCACCTCGGCCTGTAACTCCGAGTTTTGAGTCGTGAGACGATCCACATCAGCCAATTGGCGTTGGGTGGCGGCACGAAGATGAACCACGGCTTCAGTGAGACGACGGTTCTTCTGCTTCAGCGACTCGATGGTGGCGTTGGTCATCGACTCCTCAGTGCGTGCTGGACCAGCCGCGGCACCCTCTGCGTTGGGCTCGCCGGGCTCTGAGAGACTTCCTTCGAGGCGCACGATCTCCACTTGCAGCTGAAGCTCTTCGACCGTGTCCTTCAGGTCGTCGTTTTCCTCCTGGAGCAAGCGGCACTGTTCCTCCGAGAGCTCGCGGTCCAAACGCGACGATTCTTCTTGCTCCTGAAGGCGGACCAGCTCCGTGTCCATTTGCACGAGTTGCACTTCGAGCTCGTGCTCCTTGTTCTTCGCGTCTGTGAGTTGGCGTTGCAGGTGGTCCTGCTTCTGCTGCCAGTTGGCCTTGTACTCGGACATTTGCTGTACCTGAAGGCGCAAAGTCTCGAGCTCGCGGGTGCGCGCGGGATCCTCGTGAGAGCGCGCATAGCTGGACGAAATCAGGGTCTGGGGTCGCGGGCTGATGGACCGAGCCGAATCGGCGCGCTCCCTCCCTTGCACGACAACGTGGTCTGGTTGATGCAGGGTGGCTGGAGCGTGCACTTGAGAGGAGGCTGATGAAGGTGCCGAGGCATGCGGTGCGGAGGTTCGCTGTGGCAGGCTTGAAGTAACCGGTGGCGCGCTTTGAGCAGGTTCATGGGCCACGCTCGGACCCGGGGCGGGGGTAGCGGTCGGGACCGGGGCTGGAGCTGGGGCTGGGGCCGGGGCCGAGGCCGGCACTTGGGCTGGCTTTGAGGTTGGGGCAGAAGTGGGGCGTGGATCTGATGGGGCAGGTACAGGAGACGGATTGTCCTCTTTAGCGGGCTGGGCCACTGCCGCCGGGACCTCGACGTTTGTGGGGCGACCTGTTTCCAGATGGCGAGATGTGAGCGAAATCCACCAAAGGTCACCGAGCACATCTGGTCAGAGAGGAAGAGCAAGGCTTTTGGCGGATGGTGGTGGTGCCAGTCACGACACATGATTTGCTCGTGAGCGGTACAGGAAGTAAAAGAGGGGGCGTAAGAACTTACTGGCGACAGGACGCTTGGTGGGTGAGCTCACGCGGGCCACCCGAGTGGGACTCGAGGGGGTCTCAATTACATCCACTTGCGTCTTGCGGACAAACATGCCATGCTTGTCTGGGCAGGAGAAGTATCGCTTGTCCTGAACAGAGCCGTCGTTTTTGCCCTCGGGCTTGTCAAGCTCAACTCCAATCCAGACACCCTCGGCAAAATCGACGGTACCAACATGACGAATGTAGCCCTCAACATTTTTCTTCTTGATGCACACGCGCATCCCTTCCTTGAGCGAAGACATGATGCACGGTATGGCATTGAGAGATGCAGTCGGGCTGCTCTTCCTTGTATCCGCGTGTTTAAAGGCAATCGAGATCAACACTTGATGGCTCGCGCATGCACGATTGGCGCCTGATCGCAGAGCCCTTCAGTGAGTTTAGGCTTGGAGTGACGGTGACGAGAGACACCAAAATGATCACCCCTCCCGCTGCACACACGCCTCCAAAATGTGGGGCGTGTGCGTTCAAATGAAATGAAACGTTCCTCTCGCCGGGAGGCACACTCGGCCCACACTAACGGGGGACAACAAACACTAAGACGGCGATGCCGCCTTGAACCAAATGCAGGGTTGAACCGGAAAAAAAAAAAAAAAGGAGAAAAGAGAGAGAAGCCAAAGGAGGGAAAGGGGCTGCGACCAACTGTCATTGGAATACAAAAGAAAGAGAGAGAGAGAGAGAGAGAGAGAGAGAGAGAGAGAGAGAGAGAGAGAGAGAGAGAGAGAGAGAGAGAGAGAGAGAGAGAGAGAGAGAGAGAGACTGTTTACTGTTACAGTCGCAACCAACTGTCACTGGCTTTTTATTTTCTTTTCTTCTCTGCTTCTTCTTTCATCGATTTTACATGTTCGGGAGAGACATGGACAGAGACAGGTCGTTTACGTTGAAATTATTTGCGAAGCACCCTCGTTGGCTCGCCGGGGGTGCTCATGCCAGGTTCGGGGTTTGGGTCGCGCTGCGTACCCCATGATGTAATCGGGTAGGTTGAGTCTGCTGCTGCTGTTGTTGGTGCTGTTGCTGTTGCTGCTGCTCTGTGAAATCCGCAATCACTTGCTGAATAATACGCTTGGCCTGTCCCAGAATCAAGAAAGGGCCGATAAATGGATCCAGACATGGAATGCATGGCATGAGAAGAACCCCTTTCAATCACGGAGCCAGACCACACAAGAGGCCGCAGTGATTACCTGAAATGGGTTGAGCTCTTGAGGCAAGACCCCCCCGAGTCCACCCGTCATCTGCAACGTTTTGACCACGGTCCCACATGAGCCAAAACCACTCTTCGGAATCAGGGGGGGGGGGTGAACAGTTCCTTGTCCTGCGCTTGCCCTGAAAGCCCTGCTTACCTTTTGAGCCTTGAGGTGATCGCGAACTTCTGAAGCAGTTAAGGCCTGCGCCAACGGAGCGACCCGGGCAACAGACTCGAGCGGGGCCAGAACTTTGGTCGTGCTGATGCGCGCTTCACTGACGGTCGCTGGGGTGCGGAAAAAGTTCTCGTACAGTCGGTGATGCAAGACAAAGCTGCGAACAGGCGACCGGACATTTGAGTCAGCAAGTCAATCTTAAGGGCACGGGCTAGCAGATGGCTCCAGCGCTGCCACATCCACCTCCACGTCCACCTTTCCCAAAGACGACTATGCACCCGAATGTGTGCGCTCGTTTGCAAAAGCAAACAAACTTGCCCTTACCTTTCAGACAGAAAGTCAGTAGCGGCGGTTAGGATGGGTTGACCATGAAAATCATACATCGGCGAGCCGGGCACCCAGGCAGCCACCCGTCCGTGAGTTGTCAAGATATCCTTGAGAAAGTCCACCTGCGCATCTTGCGTGGCGCTGCCCTCCACCCGCGCGAGCAGCTGACCCACAACCTCAACCAAAGCTGAGGCGGCCACGGGCGTGAAGTGGAACCGGCGCGCATGCCTATGGCCAATCGCATGATGCGCAAACGATGAAAGCTTGCGTTTCATAAAGGCGAGGGAGGGGAGGGGGTAGCGACGACGACAGGAACATACGCGATGGCACGCATGTAGAGTCCTGCAATGGCATTATCCCGCATGCTACTTTCGGGCGCAGCAAGGCCCAGCTTTTGAATGACATGTCTAATTCCCGGAATGAGCAGCAGCAGTCCGGAGCATCAAGAGATGAGACGCCATGAACTTGCCGCTATACTATCCTTGTGCCCCAACCCCCATCGTCGCAAACCGACTGCCCCTCCTTCCAACGCACGGTAGCAATGTCTTTGGGTTCGTCATATCAAGCAGCCCGATGGTGTCGCGAGCATTGCTGGCCAGCGAGTGCCGAAAAGCGAGTGCCTTGGGTTGTAAGTGTTGGTGCCAATCCTCTGCCTGTGTGGCCCAAAACACGGGGACAAGAAAAGAGGATGGCACAGGTTGCACGGGAGCAGTCAGCACAGAAAAGCAAGAGCAAGAGGGATCGCGGCGAGAACCGAGGTGATGGAAGCGCCGGGGTGGTCACAAGATCAGAGGGCGATCAAGCGGCCGAACCCACCGCAAATTCCTCCATCGTCTTGAGGGACTCGGTGGGTGCAAGTTCCATCTTGCTGCCCTTGCCCTTGACGGCTGACAGGGTCTTGCGTTTCGACATGGCGCTGCTGCTTGTGGCGTCGCCTCGCCCCCAAGCCTATGGTAGCTGCTATCGCTCGAAAGCGCAGCAATCGCGTCCCCAGGCGGGGAAGGGAGGGGGGGGTTGACCTGACTCGCGCGCTGCTTGTTCAGAATGTGAGAGAGAGAGAGACACAGAGAGACACAGAGAGACACAGAGAGAGAAAGTCATCCTTTCCAGGTTGTGAAGGCGATTGGCCATAGTGTAATTTTCAACGCACAATATCAAGTTCCCGCCGCAATTTGAAATCTGCATCGGTGAAGAAAGGCGCCATGGCAGAAGCGTTGATGACGCGCGCGCAGGATGCGCTGCTGCCGACATGGCAGCGCTTGGCCAAGCTCTGGACCCGCCTGGGCCTGGAGGAAGATGAACAGCTGGCGCGCCAAAATGAAGTTGTGGGCCACATTCAGCAGCTGGTGGATGAGCTCGCGGCCGAGGAGCAGAAACAGTGTGACGCCATCGTGCAGCTCGTCGCAGAGAATCGGATGAAGCTGCAAGGTTTACGCGCCGAGCTGCAGCTCGAAGACGCAGAGCCCCTCCTAACCGTTGACACGGAATACTCACTGCTCCGCCTTGATGCTGACCTCGAGTCTCGCGTACAGGAGCTTGAAGAAATCAAATTTCAGCGACTCGAGGAGCGCTCGTTCCTCGAGACACGCATGGGAGGCCTGGCCAGAACACTGGATCTGAGCCCAGAGGAGGCGCCCCTCTGTGCCGACAACGACATCTCACAGGCCTGCATAGAGCGCCTCAAATCTCGCCTCCACGAAATCGAGCGTGAGCTGGAGGAGCGGCAGTCAGCCGTGGCGCCTACCGTGGGATCCATTCAGGCCCTCTGGCACGAGCTTGCATACGAGCCCGAGGATGACTTTGAGCGAGGAGTGATTGAGAACGTGGCCGCACTACCCCTGTCAGTTGAAAACATCGGTCGCTTGCGCCACCTGCAAGACAAGCTCCAGCGTATCAAGGACCAGCTGGATGAAATGGTGAATTTGGCCTGGGTCAACCTGCATCGTCGCTGGGCCGAGCTTGAAGTGGATATGAGCGCGCGCCGTGTCGTGTGTAAGCAGCTGGGCCTCCCATCAGCTGCCGCACGCGAAGCCAAGGCGCATACCCCGCCCCCCCACGGTGACTCCCTCCGCATCATCCGCGAGGCAAACTTGGGGCTGGACGAGATTCAGCGGGCCAAGCTCCCGGTGGTTCTGGCCAAGCGCTATCAAGCCCTTTGTAAGTGGTGGCGCAAATGTTTCGTCGGTGAGATTGAGCGTCAGGAATTTCTCGAGGATGAGCTGCAAATCGACGCAGCCAATGAAGACGATGACGCTTGGCACCATGTCCCTGAGGAACGGCGTGAAGAGGTACGGATTGGTCGCATTGATTCTGTGGTGTTGCGTTCGCTGCATGATCGCGGGACAGGGCGCCCGCAATCTGCAGTGCGTAGGTTGTGAGCTGGGTTGTTTTTGGCGTGTGCTGACGGTTTCTTGAATGTGGTGGTTGCTTGGCAATTACAGGTGCTCCGAGCAATGGAGGCAGCCATTGCCAATTTGCAGGAACAATATCAATCCCAGAAGGATTTGTTTGCGGCCGCCGACGTCATAGAGTCCTATCGAACAAAGCTGGCAGCTACGACCGACGAGGATCGACTACGCAATCGCGGTGGCCTACTGGCTCGCTTGGATCGTATGGCTAAGAGCGCAAAGCTAGCGGAACGGCGCATTCAGGACTGGGAGGATGAGCATGGCGAAGTCTTCCTGGTTCGCTTTCGCTGCATGTTCTGCCTCGCTGGCAATGCGGATGACTCCTCCTTGCTCTTGACAGTTGTACAGCGGCTTTTTTCTCATCACAGCGATTGTCAAACAAAATGCATCCTTTTCCTGCAGGTGAACGGCAACCCGTATCTGGAGACCTTGGAGGATGAGCGACGTCGCCAGCAGGAGAAGCAACATCTGGAGGCTGAACAACGTCGGCAACGCGCCAAGAACCAGACAGAACATGAGATGCTGTACGGCTCCACACCGCTGACCCCGCGTCGGGTCACCAAAGCGGTCGCACGCACGCCCACAAGTGCTAAGCGACGTAACACGGCGCTCACGGCCGCCGGCAAGACTCCAAAGCGGGTGCCTCTGAGCTTGCGTAATGAGTCGACCGTCTCTTCGCCCATGAAGGCACAGCCCATGACTTCATCCAAGCTGCAGGCCAAGGCTGCTCGGGCAAAGCAGGCTTCACCAGTCAAGAAGCTGTATTCGCGCCAGTCACTAGCTCGAGTGAGTGTATGCCTGGATGCGACAGCGTCTTTCGGATTTGTCTCATCCGTCCTTATGGTGGGACTTTGTTCAAATAATAGGGCTTGGGCTCCATTTGTGGAGACAGCTCGACGGCACCCTGGCTTGAGCCTTCCCTCTCTGTGCTTTCGCCCACATCCTTTGAGGTGCGTTGAAGAGGATGGTTGTAGTCTGTTTGGTTCAAAAGAGTCTAGGAGCCGACGCTCACGCGTTGCTGTTGATCACGTTCTTGTTTGTTTCTTCTCTCTTTGCTCACAGCGCGAGCTTCGCGGCAATCTCATGTCAACGCGATTGGGAGACCTGGATGACGAGGAGTGAAGGTGTCGGCACCCCAATGTTTTCTGGCGGTGTTTCTTCGTAACTAATAAGGCCGTGTCGGTGTATGATAGCCCAGACCCTTTGGCCATGGTGGTCCAGTGTGTAGAAAGAAAGAAAGAATGACCAGTGTGTATCTTGCCATCGGTTGGTGGTAGAACCGTCCCATGAGCCACGAGGAAAAAATTTGACGGATCAAACTGGAAGCAGAGTCAAAAGTGCTTAGCTCATCAGTTGGTCTCGGCATGCAACGCTGTGAAGCCGTTTGTTGGAGATTCGATTCAGGCAGGAGTGACACATAAGAAGACAACACACGAGATAAACGGACAGCCGTTTGGACGAGAAAGCACGTTCCAGCCCAACCAAATCAAACCACCAAGCCGACCCAAAAAAAATTGACTGTCACCCTGCTTAAACGGTGACAGCAATAAAACAGGTAGCCGCTTCAACAACATCCAGAATAGCCAGTGGTCCAACAGATCCAAAAAAAAAAAAAAAAATAAAGGAAAAAGGAAAACCAAGACGGATGGAAAAGGGGACGGGCATGCAAGCAAGGGTAAAGAAGCAAGAAAAAAAATGGACGGTGTGGCTCTGCGCCATGCACCGGCCAAAAGGGAGGGAAGGGGGGCACTCAATGCCTCTCAAGCGCACAAATGCGTGCGCAATGAAGCCTCGGGCTTACTGAGGGCGGAAGCCGGGAGGGGGGCCCATAGGTGGACCTCCGGGACGGAAGCCAGGCGGGGGGCCCATGCCAGGCGGGCCCATGCCAGGCGGGCCCATGCCAGGGGGACCCATACCAGGGGGGCCCATACCAGGGGGGCCCATGCCGGGCGGGCCCATGCCGGGTGGTCCAGGCATCATGTGACCAGGTGCCGGGGCACCAACACCGCGGCCCGGGGCCATCAGGCCCGTGGGAGCCGCGCCAATAGTGGGCGCGATGCCGCGACCAGCGGCAACACCAACGCCAGGACCAGGGGCTGCCAGCTTGATCGTGCGCTTGTCCTGTGAGAGATTTGAGGTGAAACGTGTCAGTTGCGTGTGAGGGATATCGTGTGATGAGCGAATCGCCACTTGAAACCGGTGCAGCGAATGAGGCTCGGAAGCTGCATACCTCTTGTGGGGGTGGGCCCTCGATGGAGAGACCCAAGACGTTCTCGCCACGTAATAGGATGAGACCCAGTGTACGCTTCTCCTCCTTCTCGTCGGCACCCTTCTTGGGCTTGACCTACGAGACCGTTGAGAAGAGCGAAAGAATGTGCGGATCGCAGATTCGGTAGACATGAGCAAAGCCTTGTAATGCGTGCACGTGTGCCTGCGGGCCAAGATGATGAATGGCCAGGCTGCATGCAAAGGGGCAGTGTTGGTTGGACTGCGGCACTGACCTTCCTGTGCTCCTCGCAGTCGGCCAGGATAATGTTCATGTGCTTGTCGTAGGCCATGAAAGTACCGATCAAGTAGCGGCCATCATCGGTGGTGATGCGCATGCGGTAGTTCAGGAACTGTGCAATCTTGTTGCTCTTGCCCGGCGGCTGCACAGTTGAGCAAGCAAGCGAGCAAGCAGGCGATGACGGTGAGCGGCGAGCCAAGAATGCGATCCCAGCTGAGCCAGATCGATTGTGTCCAGGCTGTGGTTCCCTGGATGTCTGAACAATGGCAACACACGGCACCCAGATGATCGATGTGCCTGTGTCAGCATGCCAATCTCTTGGCATGCTGAGCTCATTGTCCAGCTGCTTGTCTGACGGCGAGGGTGACTGGCCGAGCATGTCTCAAAAGCAGGGAACGTCCAGTGTCGTTGAAACCCAGGGCCTCGAAGAATCAAGCACCCGTAATGCATTAAGGGAGGCCACGGGTCCACGCTCGCCTGCCAGGCTGCCTTTCTGCAGCAGAGGGTGCCTGTGCGTGCCTGTCTGTTTGTGTGTGTGTGTGTGTGTGTGTGTGTGTGTGCCATCCCATCCCGGGCCGGCTGAGACAGTCAGCTGAGACGACGAGTTGGCAGTACGCACCATCGTGGCGGTGGATCGGTCAGCGAACCGGCTTCCACGTCCCCAAAAAGTGACCCCACTGTTACACTTGAACTTGATTTGAGCCAAAACTCGATTGTTTTTTTCCCACATCCCACCCTCGGCACTGACACATGG